CAGGCCAAGCTGGGCCCGCTCCCTGCCGAACCGAGTTGCCGGTGGAGCGAAGCGGAGCTGGCAACTTGGTTTGGCGGAAGAGCGGGCCCAGCTTGTTATTTTGAGGGGGAGGGGTATTACTATCGACCAATTGCCGTTCTTGCGCGAATTTTGAGACATCGCGACTTGACGCCGACCGGAACCCTGTGTCTCTGTCTCTTGCCGGACCACCGCCGAGATCGTCACTCACGATAAACGCCGCGGTTTTTTGTTTGTTTTGTTTCCTTTTTTCTATGCGATCTGAACCTAAGCGGCTGAGCAGCCAGAGGGCGGCGGCGCTCGTGGACGCAAAACAGGAGACGCGCTCCCAGAACGACGCATCGTTATGAGAAACGGCGCGAACACGCTCATACAATATAGTTGTTGCTACTACTTGTCTGGCTAGTGTGTGAGACTGGCCTTGCTTTGTTACTTGACTCTTTACGCTTCCCTAACATCGGACCCCTTGGGTACTTTGGACGTTATTTTGACTGTATTTCTATCGGTCTTTTGTCTGCTCACGTCCGATTTTACTTCTCTTTTTGTGTCTCGGCTGGCTATCAAAAGCCTTTAATTTTACGGCTCGTCTTCCCACTCCGGCACCCTCTGTGCGTCACTGCCATGCCGCCACGCCCCACCAGGGCGCGATTGTTTTGTTTGCTTGGTACAAAATGTACCATTTTATTGAGAAAATTCACATCAGAGCTGGTATGAATTGCCCTGTAAAACATGTTACAATCTGTCCCAGTGGATTGGGGGTACGAAACCGCGCGTCGTTTTTTATTCATGGGACAGAATTGTGTCGTCCTCTTTAGTGTGCATGTTTCTATTCGGCCAGACGCAGGCTGACAAACTGAACAACGCTCACACGACTCGCCTCGCCTGCCGATACTACGGGGTTGGTGTCCCATCGGTGCCGTTCCTTCTTCTGGTTATACTCTAACCCTAACCGGAAGCGGTATTGAGCAGGGGATGACCGCGAGGGTTACTCGAGGGGTCCCCCACTAGCCAACTCGTTGTACATACACTTGCCCGCCCCCAACTCGCGTTAGGCGCGGTTTTATGGGGGGGGGCGAAGGGGCGATTCCCCCCCCCCCCACTGTCGGCCCAGATCGCCCCCTTGGGGTAGGTTGGCAATTTGTCCTACAAACCCCTAAAGGAAGGCAACCCACAGCAAATCGCCCCCTCCGTCAGACGGACTAAAAACCGCGCCAGACTCGCGTCGAACTCGGTCGAACTAGCGCCAAAACTCGCACAAACTTGCGCAAATTTGCGAAAACTTGCGTAAAACTCCCCAAAAATTGATCCCAACTCGTGCCTAACTCGCGGCAACTTGTCAACTCGCCAACTCGTTGTATACCAATATTGGAAGTGAGGGCCCCTCGGGGTTACTGCCCTCAAAAAAAGCATAACTTGCTATAAAAAAAAGAAAGAAACATGAGACATTTTTTTAAAAAATTCCTTTAGAAAAATCAAGGAGCTCTCCAGGCAAAATCTGAAAAAATCTGAATAACACGAAAACAAATCTGAAAAAAATATGGAAAGAAACAACAGAAAAAAAAACCGGTGTACGCTTGAATTTATATTGTAGTGCCGGCGTAGTTCCGGGAGTAAGTGACCGGGTCACTTTAAGGCTCTCACACTGGCTGATGTTGAGCGGGGCACAACAACACCGCCCCCCGCGCACCGTCGTCGGCGCGCTTGGCCCGGCTAGCTTCGGCGTGGCGGTGCTGCCCGTCCCCTCGCTCGCGCGGCGGCTCAGCAGCGCGGCCCGCGGTCAGTCAGTTTGGCCGGCGCGGTGCAAGTGAAAGGACGGGGCAAGCTTGTCTCTCCTTTGTGAGTGTCGTGGCTCGCGCGCTCTTCGCTCCGCCCTCCTCTCCGCTGCTCCGCCCGGCATGGGGGTGGCCGCCGGGAAGCCCTTGATGTTGTGATCGCGCGCGTGTGCTCGCGTGTGTGTGCGTGTTGTGTCTGTGTGCGTGCGTGTGTGTGTGTGCGACTTGTGCGACTTGAACTCAGTGCCGCCCCTCTGCAATCATGATGACGGGCATAGAACTGATACTGTTGTTGGTGGTGCTTGGATTTTTGTGGAATTCGAGGTAAATATTTGTGTTTGAGGGTGGTGATTGGGGGGGGGGGGGGGCTTTGGTTGTGTGTGGATCGCGCTGCTGCGTGTCGTTTGGTCGTGTGGGTGAGTTGCGATCTGGTTCATGAAAATAAGAACTTGGGCGAATGTAGTTAGACTCAGTTTCCGCCACCTTCTGCTCACCGCGTGAAGCTTTATTGACAGAGTCAACAGCGTCCGGTAAACTTTTATTTTTACGGCAAATGGGTGAGCCAACACATTTTGGCGGGTGACAGAACGTTCGGTATTGTGAGCAGCCAAGGGGGAAGTCCAGAGGTAGTATGTGCTCGTGGACGCGTCCTTGAAGTAAGGACCTTGGAGTTCAAAGATCAGATACAGATTCTGCGCTGGACGTTTTTATTTTTTCTTTCATACGTGTACTGTTTTGTTGCCTCATGACGGGTCTGTCATGACACGCACGGGTGACAGGTAACCCTGGCTGCTAATAAAGTTCTTACAGGAGTGTCCGATGAGTTAGTGTAAAAGGGGGGGGGGGTGAAAACGGTATATCTTGCAAAGCTGGGGTGTCGAATAACTCCATGACTGAAGCCAACACTGATCTGTGCCTGACACAAAGAACCATAAGTCGCCTGGACAACACCGGGCTGGACAGTCGACACACTAAAGCGTAGCTCTCATTGCACGTCAGCTCTCGGAAGCACATCTCGCGGTCCCTTATTCAGTCTTCTGGACCCTTTCCAGTGTTCCCAAAAGCAAGTAGACAAAAAGAAACATCCACATGTGTCGGGCGGGCTGCAATCTGGCCTACTAGGCAACATTTGCACGCGCGTGTCTAGGGATTGTTTATAGTAGATGCAGCCCCTCGAGCCCGCTTCACGCAAAGGCTTAGCGTGGGATTTTTGTTTTTTGCCTACTTACTTGGCAACACTGGTCCTTCCCCGCTGTCGGTGCCGTGCAGCCAGGCTCGTCTGGTCAACGCGACTGGTTTCGGCCTCGGCTCCGGCTACCGGAGACCTGACCGGTGTCATCCGGCTCCGAGCACACTGCCATAACAAAAGGAATCCAACGGTATGGTCAAATCAGAATGTTGACCGGCCTTAAACCCTCGTCGTATAAAGCCTTCACTTTTTCAAAGTTAACAGAAGATATAGGTTTTCAATTTTTTTTTCAAAATGTCGTGAAAATGCAGCATTGTCACTATTGAGGCCACTATTCACGCTGAATGCATTACTGCGTTTTTTTGTGTTTTTTTTGTTTTTGTTTTTTTGCAAACGTTCGTGCTTAGTTAAACCCACGTTTTGTTTCGGACAAATTTGGGAGCAAAAGTTTATGCTTTCGTAGAAATGAAAGATATGAATCCAGTTATAGTGTGTTGTTTTCAATCCATAGTTTGTGGATATTCCTAACGCTCAGGCGCGTTACAAGGTCCGGCTGACAGGGGGG